TTATGTCAAGTGTACTAAGATATTTGCACTGGAAACTGGATCAAAATCACTTGATAAGATTTTGTGTTTTGCAGTGAATCTGCAGAATATATCCAAGGATCAGCAGCAACACTAGATAGTTCTAGAATAAATAAATATTTTAATACATTTGAAATAAGACAAACTGACTTACAAGTAAGATATAAGAGCTTGCTTTAAATAAATATGTCCTGGATATTGTTCCAAAAATCCTTGTTCCACTGGCAGATTGTTTCATTTATAGTGAGACATTTTTCTCATATTATTAGTGAAATAATTTTAAGTGGAACAAGCTCCTATGTCTTGCTGAAGATAGTTTTGTCTTATTTCAAGTGAACTAGAATATTTACATTAAAAAATAGACCAAAATACTCTGTAAGGTTATAATAAATAAACAGTCATAGTGAAGAAAGTGATTTAAATCCTACAGTTTTTCTCTGAGTGAGTCTCAGCGGACCAGAATAGAGCGGCGTAAATCTGTTTCTGGCATCCCGGTGCATTCTGAAGGACAGAGTATCAAATGTCTCCAAACAAGTGCAGAGGAAAGGACGTCAGTGGCAGCTGCCACTTAGCTGACAGAGACAAAGATTTACATGCATGACCCGATCAGCATCGTTTCAGAAAGTCTGGTCAGACAGATTAATCTTTATCATTAGACTGGCAATAACTTACAGCCCATCTTTAGTCTGTTTCAGGTGTGATTACATAAGCTCTGGTTACATTCAGTTGTTCGTATGGAGTCCAAAATGTGACAACAGTCTAATAAAAGACGATACTTCAGACTGTGAAACCTTAGCTTCCATCTGAGCATTTCTCTGAGAAATTAGACAGTGTTCCCTTTACTTAACTGTAGAGTCATCCATCACTTTCAAGTACAATAACCTGGCTTTAACTATGATGTTTGTAAAGTTACACAATAAAAAATTACAGCCATATTTTGATTTGGTTAGTGTGTCATAGAAGGATAAAAAAATAGTGTTAATTTTTCAATGATGTTTTCACCGTGTCATTCACCTTGTAGTTCCAAACTAAATATTTGGATATGAAGCTAAATATTTAGCTTGAAAACTAACCATTTAATTTCAAATTAAATATTTACTTTCCAAGCTAAATAGTTAACTTGGACCTAAATATTTAGCTTGCTTTCTAAATATTTAGCTAGTAAGATAAATATTTAGCTTGTTAGCTACTAGCTAAGTACTTACTTGGCCTGCTAAATACTTAGTTCGCAAGCTAACTAAATATGTTATCTAAATATTTTTCCACCAAGGTAAATGCATAGCTTACTCGCTAAGCTAAGTATTTGAACAAGATGAATCCAAATACATTGACCAGTATAGACTTGCTAACTAGCTAAATATTTAGCATCCAGCTAAATATTTAGCATCCAGCTAAATATTTGGCCACCAAGATAAATATTTAGCTTGCTAGCCAGCTAAATATTATTTAACTTGCTATCTAGCTAGCTACGTATTTAGGTAGCTAAATATTTAGCTTGCTTGCTAAATATTTAGGTTGCTAGTTAAATATTTAGTTAGCAATAATTTAGTTGGTCTCAACTAACCCTTAAAAAAGTCTAGTTGAGACCGACGGACCAGATTTTGGTAAAAAAGAGAGAGAAAACAGTAAATCGTGCAAATGGAAATTATTATTTATTATTAATATTGTTTTAATTTATCATGCAATTAATTGATTTTTTTTTGTTTTTTTTTTTCTAACGATAAATACTAAACGATACGATGTCCAGCAGCTGATGCAGATTTTTTAAAATGCCTCCCTTTCCCCCAGTGTGCGGCTGTGATCTGGCTCTGAGCGGCTTCTTTATGAGGAACGGCGACTGCCTCTGCCCGGTGGACTTCCAGCGCTTCCACGGCACGCCATGCACCAACTGCGGCGAATTCGTGGAGGGGGAAGTGGTCACCGTCCTGGGGAAGTCCTACCACCCGGCCTGCTTCGTGTGCACCCTGTGCAAGTAATTAAACACAATAATCTGCCAGCTTCAGGTTGAGGGAGGGACGGTTTGGTCTTATCTCTGTTTGTTTTCTCTGCGTCTCAGGCAGCCCTTCCCTGCAGGCGACTTCGTTACCTTCAGGGGAAAAGAATGTCTCTGCCAGCGCTGCACTGAACCCGCGTCACCGTCTAATCACATCCGACATCCCAACAGTAAGTGGTTATACCTTCACTCTCATATAAAATATAATAAATCATGAGGTTTGATCCTCTAAACCTCTTGGGGTGTTAAAGATTGCGGCTCTTTAAAGGATTTCAGGCTGCCAATAAGATCAGATCACCGTCTAATAACAGTCAAACTGAACTGAATGAATTTTTAAAGATTCTCTAATTTGTTTTCTTAAATTAACATTGAAGTGTATCAATAAGCTACTATACTTCATATAGAAATACAACACTGTGGAACTTATGTATGGAGGACAAAAACTCACATAATTACAAATAAAAACATATATATATATATATATATATATATATATATATATATATATATATATATATATATATATATATATATATATATATATGTATATATACACACACACAGACAAGATGGTAATGGCGAACCAACCGGACATTGTGGTGGTGGATAAAGAACAGAGGAAAGCCGTTGTGGTGGATGTAGCAATACCAAGTGACTACAACATGAGGAAAAAGGAGGACGAGAAACTGGAGAAATACCAGGGCCTCAGAGAGGAACTGGAGAAGGCCATGAAGGTGAAGACCACAGTGGTGCCTGTGGTCATCGGGGCCCTCGGGGCAGTCACCCCCAAACTGGAGCAGTGGCTACAACAGATATCAGGAACAACATCAGACATCTCAGTCCAGAAATGTGCAGTTCTAGGCACAGCCAAGATACTGGAGGAACCCTCAAGCTCCCAGGCCTCTGGTAGAGGACCCGAGCTCAGAGGATGAAAAGAGAGAGAGAGAGAGAGAGAGACCACCCGCAGAGAGTGAGAAGGGAATTTTATTTTTAGTTATATCAGTATAAACCATGAAGTTCATTCCCGGACGTTGTTTAATTTCCCCTTGGGATTAATAAAGTATTTTTGAATGTGAGTATGTTTGTGTTTTTGTCCGTCAGATTGTTCTGGTTGCGGCAGAGACATTAAGAACGGCCAGGCTCTGTTGGCGCTGGGAGCTCAGTGGCACCTCGGCTGCTTCAAATGTAAAACCTGCAGGAGGATCCTGAGTGGGGAGTACATCAATAAGTAAGTACACCCCCTTCCATTCATGCTTTCCTTCAGGTTTGCCTTATTTAGCTAGCTTTAATAAACCAAAGATATTTTCTAAAATCTGAACCAACCAGAAAATGTGTGCTCTCATGTGTCAGGGATGGCTTCCCGTACTGCGAGAGGGACTACCAGGCTCAGTTTGGGGTCAAATGTGAAGCGTGTCAGAGGTTCATAACAGGAAAACTCCTTGAGGTGAGAAAGGTCATGTTGTTTGTTTTTAGCAACATTTCTTTTTTGTCCGTTTTTTTAACCCTATTTGGGTCTCAGCTGCTTCTGAAAACACATCCGATGCTTTAAAACCTCCCAGCGGTTTTTTTTTTTTCTGAGAATAAATTTATGTTTTTTGGTGTCTGGAACTTGAGCCTTTTCAAAAACCTCCCGAATGTTAAGAGACGTTAGACTGGCAATGCGCCGTTTCCTAGCAACCCCACCCAAGCCCAGCCCGTTACCTAGCAACCTAGGAATTCTGAAAGGGACTCAAAATAGGCAGAACTGACCCTAAAATCTCATTATTTAAGAATAATTTGAAGCAAAAATGTAATGAATATGTTTTCTATAGACAACAGGTCCTAACCTGCTCAAAGAAGCATAATAGGTCAGAGATTTTTAACACTGATGATAATAAATGGAACATTGAACAATATGATTGATACAGTCTGATCCGCCTGTTTCCTGTTTGTAGGCTGGAGAACGACATTATCACCCCGGCTGTGCAAAATGCAGCCGATGTGGCAAAATGTTCACAGAAGGAGAGGAAATGTACGTTCAGGGTGAGTACGGCTGATTCAGTCTGATGAGGTTGTTACTCTGAGTAGAAAAAAAAATAAATCTAACATAACAGATCTGATTTTAATCAATTTCCCACCTTAATTTATTTTCTGAAGAATAAATTATAAATGACAGAAAATATTTTTAAACAGTGGTTTTGTACAGTATTATGCTACAATTTTTCAAAATGGTCTCATTACCAGGATATAGTCAGACATTCCTGAGTTTGAAAAGTTTAAAATTAGCTTGAAAAAGAACTTTTAGATTAATCTCAGAAAATTTCTAGAAAAAACTAAGAAATTTCTGAGTCTAAAAAGTAAAAATATTTACTAAAAAAACAAAAACTTTGAGATTTAAAAAAAATCTAAAAAAAATAAAATAAAAAAAACATGGAAATTTCTGACTTTTAAAACTGAAAATTCCTGGTTTTGAGAGACATTATGCCAGAAATAACTATTTTTTCTGTCTAAAATGTCTCTAACACACCATCATTTCGCCAAGATGCTCAACATTCCTCATTTTAAGTTTTTATTTTTCATGATTTTATTTTCTCATAAAATTACGACTTCGTTCTCCTAATATTACGACTTATTCTGGTAATATTAAAACTTAATTCTCTTATTATTTCCAGTGTTTTCATTTACAGCTGTATTTTTGTAATATTCTGACTTTATTCAAATAATAATAAAAAAAAAGAAATCATAGCCTAACCCTAAAATGTTGTGGTAAAGTTGAGATAAATAGACTGTCAAACAAGATGGCCGCCATGAACTATGGAAAACCAAGGAGTTAAAAAGTCCAAATTTTCCAAAAATTAAATCTTCATAAATTTCACTGAATCAATAAAACTGATTTATTGCCCAGCCCTGGCTCTTGGTTGTGGAACGTTTCTGGTTTTTTAAGCTAACTGTCGACATTTTCACAGGTTCAACAATCTGGCATCCAAACTGCAAAGACAGCAGCAGAGCAGAGAGCTGCAGGGTGAGCTCCTTCAGAAATGTAAAGATTCAAAACCAGAATCTCTCTTTGGTTTTACCAGCTGTGCCGTTTCTCTCAAGCTTCACGCTCTTTAACGTAGCGTTAGCTTCACAACATCACATGTTCACATTTCCTTTCCAGGTCAGCAGACCAAAGACTCCATGTCTTGATTTCTTTTTCCCTCCACGTGAACTGAAGGTCATTACTGTTTGTAGTTTGTTTTTCTGCACTGCTGGAGGTCAGCACCAAACCAAGCATGAAAAACATCCAGCAACTCTAAACATTTTGTCATGCAACAGCCAGTAATTAATTCCTAATGAGTTTCATTAGGAATTAATGAAAACGGCGCTGAAAAACGTTTTTGCCCTCATGGAAATATAAAAGTTTAGAAACTTCTGAGATTAAAATAAAAATTTCTGTTTTTTGTAGCAAATGCAGAAATATTCTCTTCCTTTTTTCTAATACGCCATCATACCAATCTGTTGGTTTGACAGATTAAAAACAATAAATGTTTTTGCTCATTCAGCAGCACAGAAAGGTTTTTGAATTGAAAATATTGCTTATTTTGTCACTATTTGGTTTTCAAATAGAATGTCATTAATTCATTCCAGACTAATTAACTGGATGAACCGATGGCCACATCAAATCCAAATAAAGTTTATAATTGCAGCATGACAAAATGTTGGATAAAACTTTGAAACTTAGCTGAAGTAAGGTAGGTTATTACTTAAAATTGAATAAAAATACTAATTTTTTGGCATGTTAGAGAATTTTTCACTCCTTTACTGATTTTGGTGCATGATTTGCTGTTTTTTTTTTTTTTTTTTTTCAGATTTTTGTGTTTTGTGCAGATTTTCCTAAATTCACAGCAGCACCCCAGTTTGCTCTCACGTCCACAGCAAAAATAAGTTTGTAATAAAAGTAGAGCTCAAACAATTAGAATATCATAAAATGTTTTAATATTTTCTGTCTCATTTTATAAATGCAGCTCGTGTGAGACGTCAGATGTGTGCGCTCTGTTTACCCAGCTGTTTTTGACATTAAATTAAAGAGTTTTGTTGTCTGGACATTGAGCCGTTTCAAAAAACTCCAGAATGCAACGTCACAAATCAGCAGGCACTGCGGCATTGCCTAGCAACCCCAGCAGAGTTCTGCCCATTACCTAGCAACGCCAGCAGAGTTCTGCCTGTTACCTAGCAACCCCAGCAGAGCTCCATGGCATTTGGTCAGCTGGTTTTCCCGCTATATGGTCTGTACAATGGCTGCTGAAAAAGATAAAGTGTTTAGTTGTTGACTTACCAATCAGAAACCACTTACTGCGTTCTTGTTGGTTGTGCAGCAGGCTCCACTTCTGCTTTTCAAAGCTGTAAGGTTGTACTGACATTCCTTCCTCAATGTTGTTGGTTGTTGAATCGTTGCTGCTTGCCTCCCTAACCTGAGGAACATTCAGACTGTTTGTTGTTCTCCAGCCCAACAGATCGTCATCTGAAAGCTCCTGCTCTCGACCCGGATCCTGCACTCCCAGCAGCCCCGGCAGAACCATCTGTGTAAGTTCTGACGCTGCTTCGTTTACAGAATCTTCTCTTACACTGCAAAAACACAAAATCCTACCAAGTACTATGGGTCTAGGTTCTAGTGTGAGTATCTTGGTGCACTTGAAATAAGACAAAACCAACTTATAAGTAACTTTTTAGTACAGTATAGGAGCTTGTTTTCAGGAAATAATTCCTTAATATTTTTTTAAATAAAGCACTAGAATTAATAAGACATTTTTCTCATATTCTAAGTGAATAATCTGCCAGTGCAACTAGAAATGGGTTGCTAGGCGATGGCCTGGGCTTGGCTGGGGTTGCTAGGTAACAGCACCAGTGGAACTAAAACATTTTCACCATTATTAAGGAATTATTGACTCTAAACAAAAACAAGCTCCTATATCTTCTTGAAAAGTTACTTATATGTCAGTTATATCTTATTTTAAGTGAAATAAGATATTTGCGGTAGAAACTAGACCTAAATCTATGGTAATGTTCATTTTTTCGCAGTGTTCTCCATGTTTTGCACCTTGTTTCAGTTAAACACTTTCATTCATACAGGGCAGTCACCTGGATGAGGCGATTATGAAAGATGTTTCGTTTTAGGACATTTTGTGGAAGCTGCATAAGAGTCATTTTCTTCATACTTAGATTTTCTAAAGATTTCTGAACCTTGACTGATCGGAAGTAGCTTTCATTGTTTTGAGAAAATGTGATTTTAGTTTACATTTTCTCCATTAGAGTGAATCAGCCTCTTATGAGGCTGAGCTGCTTAATGAAATGGTGCTTTGGTGTGTTTTCCTGCATTTCGCCTTTCACTGTGGCTTTTTAAAAGAAAAACACTTTAATTCCCATCAAAGCACCGTGTGAACCAAAAGCCTTGATCTGAACAGAAACAGGAGGAAGAGCTGTTAGACTCAGGCTATGAAGTGCCAACGGCAGGGGAGTCATGGTGCTGCGGGATTAAAGCTTGATTCCTCCCTGCTGAGACGTAAACCTGTCAGTTTCCCCTCAGCCTAACCTCCACTGTCTCTGTATGTGTCTGTGAATGTCTCCGCTCCTTCTTCCAGGCAAAAGTAGATAATGAGATTATTGATTACCGAGACTTAGCAGCAATTCCCAGAGTCAAGGCTATATATGATATAGAGCATCCAGACATGATTTCCTATAAACCTGTGAACTCCTGCGCTCTGGATGCCGGAGGAGACGCTGCAACCGGACGAAGCCTGACCGAGGTAACGCCTTCAGACACAGATCTGTGTTTTAACTGTTCCACACTTCACATATCACAGCTTAAAACTGGATTTTATGTGACGAATCTTCACAAAGCAGAGCATAACTCTAAAGGGAAAACACAGATATTCAGGGTTTGTTACAATAAAAATTGAACTGCAGGTATTTTTTTCTAGTTTTTATTGTAAATATCTGAGTAGAAATAAGACAAAACTAACTTACAAGTAACTTTTCAGCAACACATAAGAGCTTATTTAGAGTCAATAATATATTGATATTGATGAAAAAGTTCTACTTCTACTGACACCGTTACCTAGCAACCGCGGCCAAGCCAGCCTGTTACCTAGCAACCGCGGCCAAGCCTAGCCTGTTACCTAGCAGCCGTGGCCAAGCCCAGCCTGTTACCTAGCAACCGTGGCCAAGCCCAGCCTGTTACCTAGCAACCCAGTTCTAGTTCCACTGGCAGATTATTTCACTAATAACATTATAAGTAATAATCTGCCAGTGGAAGTAGAACTTTTACATAATATTAATAAATTAGGGACTTAATAATTTGAAAAGTAAAAAAATTGTGACTTTTAAAACTGAAAAGTTTTTTTCTAGAAAATTTCTGAGATTGATCTCAAAATTAAATTTCTTTCTAGCAAACTTTAGGCTTTTCATAATCAGAGATTTCCAAGTATTTTCTTGAAAATTTCTCAAGATTAATCTCACAACTTCCGAGTTTTGGGTGGAAATTTACTCCTCCTTTTATTCCTGTCTGCAGTGGCCTTATGCTATCATGTTGGTGATGAAACAAAAAAATTTAAAAAATGACACATATTGTATTCAGAGCCTCCTCAATGAAGTGCTATGTGTTAGCATAGCACTTTAGCATCAGCAGAACTAGCGGTTGTTTGTGTGTTAGCGTTACCGCTGCTAACTTTTTGGCTAGCACTGCCCGCCGCTCCTCATTGGCATAACTCCTACTGCAGCTTTAACATTTGCAATAAAGACGTATCCTAAACTTTTAGCTTTAGATTTAATGCTAAACTATCTGAGAACAATCTGAGTGACAGTTTTCTGGTTCCTTCTTGTACAGGAAGTTAAGTTTCTGTAACTGCATTGATTTTTCCTCTTTTTTCTGCTTCAGTCACCAGGAAACGTGTCTGAAACCACAGAGGTAAAAACCACCTTCTCTCCTCATGCAGGTTAAAACCCAACCAGTCGCTCATCTCCATCTTTTCCATCCATTTTTTAAAGGAGAACTTTGAAACGAGACCGTGTGTGCCAAAATCTTCAAGTGACGGTCCGTTTGGAGGTCAAACCATGTGGTGTCGACACAGCTACAGTCCGGCTCTGTCCAGATCACCGCAGCATTTCCACCGACCAGGTGAAAAACAAACGCAGAAATAATTACAGAAAATTACAATGTTCATTCTTTACTCTCCTTCTCTATGATTTTCCACTTTTCCATCACTTCCTGTATCATTTTACCTCCTTAAAGTTACAGGGTTCTCCCTTTTTACCACCTGGGAACAAAAATGAAACCTGGCCTGCTTCTCCTTTAATCACACATTTCTTTCTAAAACTCATCTGCTCATTTCCTTTTCCTTCATTTCAGAAAAAAATATTTTATGATAGATAAACACAAAGTTGAGCACAATGTGAAGTTTAAGAAAAATAATACATCTTTACTTTTCACATGGAGTTACAGTTGAAAGAAAACCAAGACAGAGGTGTCCAAAATGTGGCCCAACATTATAAACTAGAAACTTTAAAAATACTTTTTATTAAATTTAATGGTGTGTTGTGATATTCTAATCTTAAATGTTGTGTTTTCATTGGTTGAAATCAGAAAATCATCATATCTAACAGAAATAAAGGCTTGAAGACATTAATCTGTGGGTAATTTACTTATATAACAAATGAACTCATCAATAATATTCTCATTTATTGAATATGACTGCAAGAAGAAAAATATTATTTTCCAGTGAAACAGAGCCACCTAGTGGTCAGACTCCAGACCTGATCTACATTACTGAAAACAAAACTGGTTTAATTTCAGATTTTGATTAGTTTTTCTGTTTCTGAGCATTTTATTGAACATTTTCTATTACAATAATTATCCCAAGTGTTATCTAAGCATTCCTAAGGTTGTGTTTGTTTTTATCCTGTTTGGTATCAATATGAACAATCAATCAGCAGGAGTCACTGATTGAAGTATTTTCTTTTTAATATTTGTCAAACACTAAGTAGCAGAAAACCAAGAACATCGAAGCAGCGATTCTGATCGAAACATCCAGAGAAACAAACGTCCTGCTAACAGTTAGCAGCTAACAGTTAGCAGCTAACAGTTAGCAGCTAACAGTTACTGTCCTCCTTCCAGCAGGTGAAAGCTTCGATTTGCACAGGAGGCGTCCAGTTTACAAACAGCCAGGTAGAGCTTTCAGTGACAATTATTAACCTTCAGTCAAGTGACTATTGACACACTAACATTTTTATAAAACTGTGTTATATGAAATATGTTTTGACTTACATGTGATTAGCTTTAAGGTTGACCTTAAACTTTAGGAAAAGCTCTGAATTATAAAGACATTTTACTGAAGCTGAACTGCATGAAGTTTGTAAAGTTACAGTCAAAAATCAAGAGCAATAATAAAGAAAAAAAATCAGGGCTAGTTTTTCAAAGTCATATTTTTACTATTTTATTCATTCATTTATAAAGTTTCAAACTAAACATTTATAGATACATTTGTAGATATATAACTCCTCTTTAAATATTTAGCTAGGAAGCTAAATATTTTGCTAGTAAGCTAAATACTTAGCTTACTAGCAAAATATGTAGCTTCAACTTAACTAAATATTTTTGTTTGAAGTTAAATATTTACCTCCAAAGTAAAGATTTAGCTAGCAAGCAAAATATTAGCTTGCTAGCTAAATATTTAGTTAGCAGCTAGCTGGTTAACTAACTAAATATTTAGTTTGAAGCTAAATATTTAGCTATCAAGGTAAATATTTATCGTGAGATTAATTAAATATTTAATTTGAAGCTAAATATTTAGCTCCAAAGTAAATAGATAGATAAATAGAAACTTCATTAATCCGTGGAAGATGGGAGTTTTAGTTCCCGTCTCCCACACAGCAGCCGTACATCAGACACTTAAATTAATGTAAAGTTAAATATTTAGTTTGCTAACTAAATATTAGCAAGCTGTTTAGTTTGAATATGTGACATTTGTAAATGAATGAATAACGTGGTGAAACTCCCATTTCTTTCTTTAAACATTTGGATTCGGCATAATCCAGATTATTGCTGATTTTTTTTCATGACTCAGGCTGTGAGATTTTTTATTCAGTTGTCAGTGGCAGCTGAATAGAAACTAGACTACAAATAGTTGGTATGATTTGGTATACATGAAATAAACAGGTTTTAATCAAGAGGACAATCCAGTTCAACTCTGATTTCCTCAGTAATCTGATCCGTTTCGGGGAATTGAGCCGTAAGTCGTCTCATGAGGAGCTTATCTGTCTGCTGTCTCACTTTCACACAGATCCAGATTCCGGCTCAACCCAAACTGCGTCTCTGCCCGGATTCAGCCACAACTTCCTGAGTTTGGTGAGCAAATCTTGTCCCTGTTCCACCAACAGAAAGGAAAAAATGGCTTTAATTCATCAATCTACTGGATCACAGTGAAACTTTAGAGTTAAATTAACCAGACTGAAAATGATTTATATACTTATAACCACAGAAGGACAATAATAATATGATATTTTCATGTCCTGTAGCATGTCTCTTCACATCAGTATGATGGAGTATTAGTATTTCCAGGGAAAATGTTTTTAGAAATTAATAGAATTAAAAAATTACAATTAATTATGAGAATAAAGTCATAAAATTGTGAGAATAAACTTACATGAAAATAAAGTGATAACATTACAAGAATAAAACTGCACAAGAATAAAATTGTAATATGATAATAAAGTCTCAGTATTTTTACTTTGTTCTTGTAATACTGACTTTATTGCCATCGTGTTTTCAACTTTATTCCTGTTATTTTAAAATGAGAAAACTTTTAAAATTAGAAATGTAATTTCTCATGTTTTCTGCTGCTTAAGCCTCGTTTTCCGCCTGGTTACCGCCTCACCAGCACTGACAGATTCAGTAAGTATGCAGGTTTTATCTCTTCCACATCATTGCTCATAATTTTACCAACTTTTTTAGATGCTAATTTTAAACCGGTGATGTTTTCTTCTTCTTCTCCTCTCCTTTCAGGCTTGAAGGTGCGTGAGAGCGACTCGTCCTGGTCGTCCTTTTATCACCGCCTCTCTTCACTGTGTCCAACGGCTCTGTGGCGGAAAATTAGCTACACTGCAAAAACAACACAATACCGAGAATTTTTGGACTAATGCAAATATTTTACTACATGTGAAATAAGACAAAACTAACTTAAAAGTAACTTTTCAGTAAAATATCAGAGCTTGATTTAAGTTAATTCTTTAATATTGAAGAAAAACTTCTAGTTCCACTGATGGATTATTTCACTTATAACATTGGAAAAATGTTACAAGTGAAATAATCTGCCAGTGGAACTAATAATTTGTCATTAATATTAAGGAATTATTGCTCCTTTATATTGCTGAAAAGTTACTCATAAGTTAGTTTTTAGACAGAAATACTTGGTAAGATTTTGTGCTTTTGCAGTATAAACTTGGATTCTTATCGAGCATAATGCTCATTTTATCAATAAAACATCAATGAACTGATGTTCACTGATAACACTGAAAGATAATAGATCATAATCAAAAGAGGAAGCCATAAACATTATTAGAAACGAATCAGTAATATATGCAAACTCAGCAGTTATTAACCTCCCAGTAATCTATCCGCTCTGCTTACCTGCTGATTCATCGCGCCATGACTTCCTGCTCTCTGCACGTCTCATCCTGTAGCTCACCACCGATGATCAGATCCCACTAACCCGAGTGGATAGAGGAGTGTCTATGCCTAATTTATTGGAACCTAAAGCAAGTATTGTTTTATATTTACTCTATTATCTGTTCAGATTCCTCAGTTTGTCGTTGTATTTCTTACATTCTTATCGTCATCCTGCTTGCTATTAACTTCAGTCCTGTTGCTACTTCAGAAGTCATTGCTTGATTATCTGCTTTGTCACACAAATCAATGTTCAGAAATTAGTAAATCTGGCCTTTAAAAGCATCTTCTACCTCTGTTTGTCCCATCAAGGTCTATCCATACGAGGTCCTTAAAGTCTCAAATGGAGGCCGAGTGAAACTCCCCAAAGACGTGGACAGAACGAGACTCGAGGTAAAACAACGGTCAGATCCAAATGCACAACGGTTGGAGGCTAGAAGGAGTTGTGTTTTTGCAGTGTAGCTGCTGTTCCTCTGGTAAATTCTGCAGATTCACTGCAAAAACACAAAATCTCACCAAGTATTTTTCAGCTAGCTTTTATTGTAAATATCTTAGTACACTTGAAATAAGATAAAACTAGCTTCCAAGTAGCTTTTCAGCAGGCAATAGGGGCTTGTTGGGTAAAATGTCACATTTTGGGACTGAGTCACACGTCCAACATCAGTGTCTGACCTCACCATTGCTCTCCTTGATTATCAGCATTTAGATCATTTAACAAAAACATTGTCTTTCTGTAAAAACATGAGACAGATACTCATCAGTGTGACGTTTAACAGGGGTATAATTATATTTACACTTTTTCTTTAGTTTCACTCTCTCCTGCTTCGTTTGTCACAGCGCCACCTATCCCCAGATTCATTCTTTGAAATCTTCGGGATGAAAATCCAGGAATTTGACAAACTTCCGCTTTGGAAGCGCAACGACATGAAGAAGGCGGCAAATCTTTTCTAAATGTTTGTTATTTTTAGACTTTATTTCCTTTTCTTGGTGTTTGATGTTGACATTTGGCTTCACCTTAAGTTAGATTAAACAATTATCTATAAATAGTTAATAATTCAAAATTAAAGCCTCAATTAGCAGCTGTAAAGCATCTGCAAGATAATTTTCATACTTTGATCTCAGAAACTGTTGACGTTCTGTTTATTACAACAGGTTTATTAAGAGTTGACAGTTATTTATAGCTTAATAAATAACTGATTTAGTAAGATTTAATTCAGTGTTTCTATTTCTGGAATTTCTAGTTATGACTGTTGAACTGATGCATATTTTATAATTTTCCAAATAAACATTTCTGTCCGTGAGTGTTAGATGTTAGCATGTTAGCTTAGCATGTTTAGATTAATACTGGATCATTTGTAGAGTTCAACCTTTTAGTTTAGGATAAAAAATGGGTAAAAATTGATCCTTTCAGCCTTTGTGTTATGTTTGTTGACAGTTTTTTCTGTTTATGGCCTTTGGAAAATGTACATAAAATCTATTATTTTTAATTATTTTAAGTCTTTTTAGTTATTCAGTTTATTTAATTTTAGACTTTATTGAAAAAAATCACAAAATTTCATGTTCAGCAGAGAAATTATGCATGGATGACTAAGAAATACTTTGTTTTGAGTTGCATTAAAACATGAAAACTCTTCTTTCTTGGACACAGACATGGAAACAGATTTGAGATTGCAGGGAGGAATTGTGTGAATAAATCATCACTGAAATGTTTTAAGTAATATTGTTTGGAGATATTTTTCTTTTCGTGTTTTACCACATATGCATCTTAATATTGCAGCTTCATCACCACTTCAAGCACCAGAAATAAAATCTTCCTTCTCACAAACTGTGTATTTATTGATTTTCAAATGTAAAGCACACATTTTCTAACTTTGGACTGGAGTTTTACTTTGAATATTTGCATCATTTTTAATTTCTTTATTCATTCACTACATAACTTTTCAAAAAATGACATAACACACCACATTAGCTAAAAATAAATAAATAATTTCCAGCGGATGCAATTATTTGAAATGTACGACCAACAGATGGCGCCTGCAGCCTAAATTAAAAAGCACACAGTTACTGTATTTCCTAAAGATTTGCTTTCAAACACAAAAGTCCTCTTTATGTATGTAAAATAATAAAAAACAAACAAATGCAAATTAAATTATACTGAATACATGTAAACTCCCTGAATATTTAAAACGTTTTCAGTTCCTTACATTTGATAAACAAATGAAACAATCTGGTTTAATAAAAATCCTAAAAGGGCAGATTCCAGGGGTTTAGATAAATACAAAAATGATACAAGCAATAAAAATGATCATTATTGTTTAATATAAAATCAAATGTTTTGATTTTCTCCAGAAAAAACTGTGAAAATACTTTTGATTATTTGATATCAGTTTGTAAAAGTAATATATAAAATGATAATAATAACCATTATATTATTAGATCATTTAAAATCAAATAATTTTTTTCTGTTGAAAAAAAGGTCAAACTACTTTTGATTATGTCAGTTTATAAAAAGAAAACATAATAATAATAATAATAATAATAATAATAATAATAATAATAATAACTATCATCATTATTATTTAATTAATTTATAAGGTAATTTCAGGTAATTTTGTGTAGCATATTTTCAGCAACAAGGAAATTCAAAGTGCTTTACATGCGTTAGAGGAAATACAAACAAAATAACCAAAGTTAAATAATTAAAAAATTGCGTTAAAATACTTTTAATCACATTAGTTTTCCATCGTTGGCTCTTTAAAGCCCACCATGACGAAAACAAGATGAGCATGCAGTCGGATGCTTTTCATTGGACAGTTGAAGCGTGACCAGCATGTGATTGGTTGAGGTAAGTGCCACTCTGCGCTCCGCTCCTCGTAGCCCCGCCCCCTTCTCCGTTTAGCCAGAACGAGGATTTTCACGAAAACATCGACCGCAGATTGCGCAGCAGAGCACAGCAGCCACACCACGGGAATGGATCCAGCTGCGTGACAGCTCCGTGGATGGCGTGTTTGAAGTTGTTTTAGCGATGTTTGGCTATGAAGACAAACGTTAGAGGCAGTGAGAAGATTGTTTCACGACGATGTCACTCATTTAACGTCCAAAAAGGGCCGAAGAAGTGGACTCCCTCCCCTCCGCTTTCCCTTTCCCCCGCCCCCCGCTCCTTCGCTTCGGTGCAGCCGTTACGGCCGATGGAGGCTGACGGGACTTTTGCAGCGAGCTGGAGGCCCGGAGCGTCACCTGTGAAGCGTCGTCACTTCGCTGCGGGACGCGTTTGAGAGACTAAAACCCCGCACTGACTGCGTGTTTCCTTCTAACGGCTGACTGTACAACTTTTCCAGGAGGGGGAGAAAAAGTTAGCAGCTCGACGTTAGCTGCACGAGCCCGACCCCCGCGCGCACGATGACTGATTTGACTTAACGGAGCGGTTACTAACCGCATCACGTCACGCAGGACAGGTGAACCCACGCGCGGTTACCCCCTGTGGATGGACTTCACGGTTTCTTCTTCGGTGGAGTCAGTTTTTACCCGAATTTCCCAGTCTACCTTGGAGGACTGGATCCTCAAACAGGGACTGGTTGTTTTATTTTTTATTTTTCCTCTTAAAAACTTTCTTCTTTACCGACCATCATGTCACTGAAAGAAAACGCCTGTCGGAAATTTCAAGCCAACATTTTCAACAAAAGTAAATGTCAAAACTGCTTCAAACCCAGAGAGTCACATCTGCTGAACGATGAGGACTTAAATCAGGTATTATTTATATGTCAATATTAATACCGTTTTATGATTGTTTATCATAGGCTGCTAAGTGCGAATGTGAAGCTAATTGGAGATAATTAGGTTATAGCCAAAGGGAACGTTTTTAATTACCTTTATTCATATACAGTTGAATCAGAATACAACACAAAGCCGGCCTGAGGCATAAGCAAACAAGGCAAAACTTCTGTAAAATTTCCTAACATTTTCTGAATAGCAAATGAAAGAATTTCTGGTTAAGTATTGAAAGAATTGACATTTGTATTATTTGTAGTAAAAGTGACTTCTGTCATTTTATCTTAAAATGGATTTATAGAATTGATAGTTGAGATGCTAGTTGGCAATTTATTTATGTTGATTTGGTGAAATAAATGAACCACTGGTACTTGCGAATACTTTAGACCCCTAAAAAAGAAAATTGCTCATAACTGATTACTTTTAGTAATTCAAACACCAAATTTACCTTATTATGCTCTGATAAAGTGCACCAGTGTTGGTTATGAAGTACCACAAGGTTCCCTGCTTTGACCAATTCTTTTTTTCTATAAACTTTAACTTGATTGAAGTGTTACTCAGCAGATGATTGATGATAAATCCCCTCCTCCCCCATTTAATCAAATTGATAGCTGGGACACTTGGCAATTAATACATAAATGTAAATGATTAAGCTGGCACAATTTGTTGCTGTGGTGAATGCAGTGGACCCCAGTATTCGTGAATACTTGAGACCGCCTCAAAAAAAAGTTTTTAACTGCCTATTTTAGTAATTCAAGCACCAAATATACCTTAATATGCATTGATACAGACAGAGGAAACAAAGAAGCTAGCATCTACAGTCTTCCTTATATTCACTTTTGGTGTGATACAGCTAAATAGCACTAAGGAAAATAAATGGCTGCTTTGCAAATGCCATCCAATTGTGTGTCAACTGGAATTACGCCTAAGTATTTCAGCAGCATTTTCTTGGGAATGTCTTCTACATAATATATGAAAAATCAGTGAATTTTTACAGAACAAACTGTAGAGACTGAGTAGACGGGGTTTCACTAAAAATAGTTGTTCAAAGTAGACATAAAATCTCTGAATGCAGGTCATAATAGATGGTTGTATTATGTTGGTGCACATTTATCTGACAGATTTCAGTTTGTTTATGTTGCTGATAGTAATTTTCTGTGTTCACCAGTGTTGGTTATGGAGTACCACAAGGTTCCCTGCTTAGACCACTTCTTTTTTCTATAAACTTTCACTTGATTAAAGTATTATTCAGTGGATGATTGGTGATAAATTGACCCCCAAATTGATCAAATTCTTCCCAGACACCTATATGTGATGTATAATCATCCTCCTTATTGTTTATGTATAATCATCCTCCTTATTGTTTATTATCTACACCCAAATAAACTATGAGGATGGGATTCCACAGAGATGAACTCAGGTTCATTTTATTGTGTAACTGGAGCAGAAAGTTGACTAAAACAAAAGCTCTGAATGCATCGGAGCATGTTCAACATCTGATATGTTTAGTCATCAGTTTAGACAAGGTGTTTATAAAGTTGATACATTGGTGACTAACCAAGACTCATCATCAGTTTCCAGGTGTTTGGCTCGGATAACCTGGATGGAAAAGAGAAAGAAAAAATCTCTGTAAAATAGAAAGTTTTCTGTTCAACTCAATAACCAGAATATATATAGTTTCTTTTTATGAATAACATATTTAACCTATGACTATCAGCTGCAAACATGCTGAGTTGTAATTCAGTGTTTTGGCTTTTATGCCAACTGCCAAGTATTTTGCATTATAAAGTATTTTCTTATTGTTATTCCTGCCACAATAAGCAATAAGTCAATTAATTGCATGATAGATTAAAACAAGATCAATAATTTTTATTTGCATGATTTGTCGTTTTTCTCTTTGCACCATAAACTGGATGATAAAAGTTTTCAGTCTGGTGCTTTGGTCTTAACTGGCCATTTTTAACAACAGTTTTGTTTACAGACTTCATAATTAATTAATTTATTGTTTCTGTTGTTTTGTTTGTTTATTTTGGATATTTAAAATGTCTTCCACTTCCAGTGTCAAATGTTCTTTAGAATTGAAAGTTTGTTGATCTTTGAGAATATTTTCTAATATTTTCTTGCATTATTATGCCATTATTACTGTTTTATTACTTGAAAATGGTCTCAAAACAATATTATTGCTTATTGCAATAATTTCTGGGACAATTTATCATTTAGCCAAATTTATCTTGGCAGACCTTCTCATTGTTTTTATTAAATGTGATTGAGAAGATGGATTTTTGTTTCACATACATCCAACAAACACCATAAGTTCCTGTTCATTTAATGTTTATTTTCTTATTGATTCTGTTTCATAGTTAGTGACTAGCTTTGAAAAATAAGTTTTCTGCCCATATTTTTAGAATAATCTCCTATTTTAGTTTTATTTCTGATCTCGACCAGAACAGATTAAAGTTGCTCCGTTTAACTGCTGAAGGGGAACAAATGACCTACATTTATCTCAGTTTTGTCTCTGTTCTGTCAGGTCATGTGAGGAGAAATGTTTTCCTGCGCTCAGTTCAGATTTCTGCCATTTTGTTGACTTTATTTTTGAAACATGCAGTTTTTTCTATCATTATGGGTCAAATTCCTGGCTGTCAAAAGTTAAGATTACGACTAATTTTGTTTGCAGTCGTTCAGAAGAGGAATGTGTTTGTAATCAAAGTGAAAGAGGATTTTGTTGCAGATTATACTCGGCTTTTTACAATCTAAGCTGTAATCACAACCTCAAACTGGAAGATGCCATGTAATAAACCTCAACTGGATTACATAAGAGAGGATATATAAGCTCTGTAGATATCTGGATGATTTCAGCATAAACTTTAATTGCTCTTCTGTGCAGAAAGCAATGAGGAAGTTGGTTCATGAGGTTTTTTTGGCTCTACAAAAACTGCCAACAGTGATCCCAGTTTCACTGCAAAACCACAAAATCTTACCAAGTATTTTTGGTCTATTTTCTAGTGCAGATATTTTAGTACTCCTGAAATATGATAATATAAAATATGATACTTATCTGTCAGCTAACAGATAACTTTTCATCAGGATATAAGAGCTTGTTTTAAGTAAATAATTCCTTAATATTGATGAAACAGTTCCAGTTCTACTTCCATATTATTTCAGTTATAACATGGGAAAAATGTCTTGTCATAAGTGAAATAATCTGCCAGTGGAATTAGTTAGAACTGGGTTGCTAGGTTACGGACTGGGCTTGGCTGTGGTTGCTAGGTAACAGCGCCAGTGGAACTAGAACTATTTCACCAATATTAAAGAATTATTGACCTAAAACATGTTTCTATGTCGTGGTCTTATTTTAAGTGTATTAAAATATTTGCACTAGAACCTAGACCAAAAGTACTTGGTAAGACGTTCTGTTTTTGCAGTGTTTGCTTCACTTCTCCCATAGATTTCTGCTGCTTTTCTCTCCAGCTTGTGATCTGCAGTTTTTTTTTTCGCCTCTTGTTTCCTCCGGCCGCCCACCCGCCTGCCGGGCCGCCCACCGACATGATCACAGGGAGAAATCACGCGTTTGGCTCTTTTTATTTATTTTTTTCTTTGTGAGCCAGCATGGTGCTCTGGAGGGAAGCCAGCTCAACTCCAGGCATTTAGTGACTAATGCTAGAAAATGAAACGCGTGGTAAAATGTTCTGGAACAGGGTCAAAGTGCCTCCAAAGCTTTCCCATGCTTTCAGTCTTTTTACCATTTCTAACATTTAGGCCTTTCACGATTACAAACAATAATGTTGTTTTCAGACCATTTCCAACTAACATGTCGCTAATGCAGAAATGTAAATTTTGTAAAGAACACTTAACACTGGATATTTTAAATATCTAGAATAAAACCTAATAACCAAAAACAAGTAAAAATCTCACACAACCAAAGCCATAAATAAAATGCATTATAAAGTCTCTGTAAACAAAAAGGTCCTTTAAAGAATATTAACCATCAGAATGGAAATTATTGAGCTCATTTGAATTTATCATACATATTTACTCACATGGCAAATGCACTCTAAAATGTCTTTAATTGGGGTTTTATGCAACAGATTTGCATAAATTAATATGTAATTCTGAAAGATAGTAATTGACCAGAATAAAGTTGAAATGAAGAAGCAATTTTACGAGGGGAAAAAAACCCCCAAAAAATTAAAATGAGGAATGTTGAGAATCTTGTGAAGTTAAACTTTGGTCCAAGTTTTACAGATAAGCAATTATTTAATCTTTTAACTCATCAACATCAAATTATTACCATCAGCACGACGTTGAAAGGATCGTGCAAATAACTGATTCTATTTTGAAGAAAATTACACAAACTGAGCTGGTCATGTCAGATCTTTATAAAAATATATTTTAAACAACTTTTTTCTTTTTAATTTAAATTTTTTTTTCTGGTAAAATCACATTTTTATTCTGCTGATATTGTGAATTTATTCTAGTAAGTAAGCAAATTCTTGGAGCTTGAGCTTGATACTCCAAACACGGGATGACTGAAATAAAAACCTCTTTTTGAAAATATTATATGTTTGTAATTTTATTTTTAGAAAAGAAAGCGAAAAAAATATTCTGTTAAAATCGAATCTGGCATGAAAAATTAGATTTTATTTTTCAACCACATCACTCAGCCCTAACAGTAAGTTAATCACACGATAAATGAGTTTCGTATGAACAGCAGTCGCTAAAGAGCTGCTCCCCTTTAATGTCGTTTTATAGTCGGCATTTTGAAAACACTGCAAACATTTGACACCAAGTTTGAACTACCTGCCCTGTTCACCTGTTTTCTCTGTCTGACATGAAAATTTAATATTTTTTTAAATGCAATTTTGTTTATAGAAACTTCATAATCCATTTTAATTAATGTTGTGTTTTTTATTTTGGATATTTAACACATTTTTCAGTTAGTGTTAAATATCCGTTGTTTGATCTCTGAGTGCGTCAATATGCCGTTATTATCGTATTAGTTAAAAATTGTTTCAAAATGACAATATTATCATTAATTTCCACGGTAATTACAGGCCTAAAAACTGCCAGTTTATCACCCAGAATCTCTATGAAAGTTTTGTTTTTAATTCTTTGTGTTTTTGCTCCCATATCCCACCAGGCCAAACCCATATATGGAGGATGGTTGCTACTGGCACCAGAGGGAACAAACTTCGACAACCCCTTACACCGATCTAGAGTAAGTTTTTCTGGTTCACTTCACACCAAATCACAGCGAAATGACAAAAATGAAAAGCTGTTTTCTGTTTGGTGCTCCTAGTGGTTCAGTTCATTGGAGTGTGAGGTTCACTGCAAAAACACAAAATCTTACCAACTGTTTTTGGTCTAGTTTTTATTGTAAATATCTCAGTTTACTTGAATTAAGACAAAACTAGTTTACAAGTAACTTTCGATAAGATGTAGGAGTTTGTTTCAAGTCAATAATTCCTTAATATTGATGAAGAAGTTTTAGTTCCACTGGCAGATTATTTTACTTAAAACATGGAAAAAATGTCTTATTATTGAAATAAAAATAAGTGGAACTATTTAAAAAATGTTTTCTTACTTAAAACATGCTCCTTTGTCGTGGTGAAAAGTTACTTCTAAGTTAGTTTTGTCTTATTTTATGTGTATTAAGTATTCGCATTAGAAACTAGACCAAAAATACTTGGTAAGATTTTGTGCTTTTGCAGTGAATCTGCAGAATCTACCAAAGGAACAGCAGCTACACTGCAAAAACATAAAATCCTACCAAGTATTTTTGGTCGAGTTTCTAATGTTAATATTTGTAGTTCACTTGAAAAGAGACAAAACTAAATTACAAGTAACGTTTGTTTTAAGTCAATAATTCCTTAATATTGATGATCTTAAAACATGTGAATAATGTCTGTTAAGTGAAATAATCTTCCAGCCGAACTGGTACTTGTTTATGAATATTAAGGGTTTATTGACTCAATATCTTGCTGAAAAGTTACTTGTAAGTTAGTTTTGTCTTTTTACAAACAAATCCAACCAAAAATACTCTGTAATATTTTGTGTTTTTACAGTGTTCCTGTGGGAGTTTGGCACTCTATCACAGAAATCCTTGTTGTGAGGCAATAATGAGTCGAATATTTACATAATTTTGGGATTCCCACCTCCCTATCATCATGTTAATGGGAGCTTAACTTTATCAGCTCTCAGATTATGCTGCGGGTTCATCCCAAAACGAGGCGAGGGAGGGGAGGGCAGCCTGTGGGGGAGGACCGAGTTCCCACAGCCACGCTGATGGTTTCCATGTGTGTTTTGGGAAAAGCACCCCTTGATCTCTTGTCATCAGTCTGCTGCTGCCACTTTGACATCATCCCTGATACGTTCTGCCTCTCCTTGCAGTCCTGTTCTTACTGCTGGGCTGTAATTGGCTGCTTCTACGTAGCGCTGATGTAAGCAGTCGGCTAATAACAGAGTAAAATGGCTGATGCGTTCAGTGACTAATATTTAGGAGCGTTTCAGCGTAGCAGCTTGTTAGTCTGTGGTTGTATCGTGATCCTGAGCTTGAATATTTTAGTTGGCTCTGATGTTGAAATGATAACATTTGGTGTTTAGCATCGTAGCTAGTAGCACTGCTGCCTTGCAGAAAGAAGGTCAGGAAGACTCGGGTCTCCCTGCTTCCAGAGACACGACTGTTAGGTTATTTGGTCAATCTAAACTGCTGTTATGTATGAGTGTGTGTTTCTGTGTTGGGTATGGAAGACCAAAACTGACAAAATTAAAAATAAAAGTGGAAATATATAAATGGCTCAACAATTGGCCTGTAGCCATAAGCAATAAATTAATGTCATAAGAAACTAAAATGAGCTCAATAATTTCCTTTTGATTTAACATTTTTCTCTTTTTTTACTCTCGTTCTCAAGTCTAGTCAAAAATTATTGATATAGCACATTTATAACAACCTCAGCTGACCAAAGTGTTTCACAACAATCACAACATCACAGGTAGATAAATAGTACGACAAAAAATAAAATTAAGTTTGGTAAAAATGACATAATTATAAAATTAGCAGACAAACAAGACGTACTTCATTTCAGCTGCAGTGATTCCACAAAAACTCAAATCAGTGAAATACTAAGATCCCCACCAGTCTTCAGCCTGGTGTTTTGGTCTCAACCAGCCCTTATTCTGAAGGACAATTTTGTTTCCAGAGACTTCATAATTAATTTTTATTTGTTGTTTCTGTTGTTTATTTTTTTAGTGTTAAAAGTTAGTTGGAATTGAAAGTTTATTGATCTTTGAGAATGTGTTCTTTCATTATTGTCCCGCTGTTATCATTATATTGATTAAAAATTATTGGTTCCTTTAGACTGGAAAAGTGGAAGTTTTCAGTTTTTATAGGTTTCATTTACAGGAAAAAAAAAATCTGATTTGTCATTACTTTTTCGCCCAATCAGAGCCGGCCGGTCGAGTAAAAACTGATTGGTGCGTCGCTGAACCTGGTCGGCCCACAGACATTACTGGAGATGTTCTTTGTTTGAGTGGAAGGAAATAAATGTTAAACTGGATGATCTGGAGCAGATGATGCTTGTTGACGAAATGTTCGGCTTGATTGGAGGCCTTGTTTCGCTCCATGTTTAGAAAGAATGCCAACAAACTCTTCAAAGACCATTAATTAATCATTATTTATAAGCTAAGGAGGATCAAAAGATCAAATGGAAAACAATCCCAGGCTTAAAAACAACTTAAACTTGTTAAATTAAATTTTAAAAATACTTTATTAACCCCAGAGGGAAGTTAAATCATGTTACACAACTTTTTTCAACAGTTGTATTTGTTTCCTGACAGAAATGGCAGAGAAGATTCTTCATCCTGTACGAGCACGGGTTACTTCGCTACGCCTTGGACGAAATGGTGAGTTAAACTTTTTTCATTCTGGTTTTACTGGCTGGAGCTAATATTTAAAACATGACTGGCCTCGGCTGTCAGCAGGAGGAATGCTTTGGCGTCCAAACAACAAGCAAAGCAAACAAAGAGCAATATCTTCCTGGCTTTAACAGGAAGCTAACTAGCAGAGCGTCGGGAGGAATGAAGTGACACCACATGGTGTTCATACTAGAAGCAGTCATGTGCTGGCCAGATTGTTTGTTCTGTGGTTAACACACTCTGCACACACATTGTGCAAGAACCCTGCAGTGACTACCTATTTGGAGAGAAAACGTTCCTCTCTGTATATAAAAAAGCTCCTTATCTTTGAACGTTTTGTGCTGTTTTGAAGCCTGTAAAATAAGCGTCGGTTGTGGGTTTCATGTGTAACGTTTCCATTATAATGGGAACTGTTGGTTCTGTGCTTTGCAGAGTATTGATTGACCTAAGCTGGTGCTCAGCTTGTTTTCCCTCAGCGTGGACTTTAAAATCAGGTTAAAGCTGCTGCATAAAAACGGTTTCCCAGTGAAATAAAAGCTCAGTTTCTATTTTTATTACTCGCTTGATTTTGTATTATCCTTAAATTAATGAAGTAGCCTGTAAATTATCCTGTTAATACTGCAGTGGTCTTAGTGTTTTCATCATCTTGGAGGCATTAAGTTGTTTTTGTGAGATGAAGGTTGATGATGAGAGGAAAAAGGGAGAAGTCAGTCTTCATCCTTTCATCTGCTTTCTGAATAGAGCATGAAACAGAGAGGAGGAAATATCAAGAGGCACTAAAAATAGAGCCTCGGTTCCTACATGAGCTGCTTTAGAATAATTGGTTTATGTTCAAGAAACAGCTGCCAAAACCTGCATTGAACAATTAATCAATTATCGTTAAGAT